CTTAGATTCTATATCAAATGTTTTTTTTTTTAAAGAAAGTGAAAAATTTTATTGAATAAGAATCAATAAAATTTTTAAAGAAAGTTTGAATCCTATATCATGTGGCTTTTTTTTTTTGTTTTTTTTTATAACCTCCACAGTACGAGAGAATTTTATTGATTTAAAATTGGATTACACCTTGCTAGGGAGAATATCCTTCGATACAATCTAATTATATTAATAAGATTAAAGAAAATAAACTAAAATGCATGCTTTTTTTTTTTAAAAAAAAGCAAATTTTTACAAGACACAAAAAAGCCAAAAGATGATTTTAATCCTCCAAAATATAACAAAAGAATAGATTTCATCCTTGGTAGTGGAGGTGTTAAACGTATTGGGTTAAACGAGTGACAGGTGGAAAATATATAAACCTGTATACGATACGTTTAATAAACGGGTAAAAAATCTCAAACGAACACGATCCGTTTAATAAACGAGTAACACGACACGACTCATTTAATCCGTTTAATTTAAAAAAAATATATTAACGAATTGTAATACTCTACTTTTATATTGCCAATTGCACTTACCTCAAAAAAGAGAAATTTTTAGCCAAATTTCATAAAAATAAGAGTTGAAGGCTTAAAAAATATAAGCATTAGACCATTACTTTTTTACGGACAACCCAACTCTCACCATCTCCCCTTATTTTTCAATATGGGACAAAAATAAAAGACATTGATTTGCCTTTGTCTTTGAAGTGCTCCGCATTTCCTCTCATTTATTTTTGAAGTACTACTTTATTTTATTTATTTCTTTTTTTCTTGTTAATTTTTTAAAATAATTATTAATTTATTATTATATTAATTTTATTTAAATAGGTAAACGTGTGATAAACGATTTGACAGGTTTCACCCGAACATAACTCGTTTATTAAACATGTTTGGTGTGTTAATCAGGCAAGCAAAGCTATAACAGAGCATCCATATATGTAACTCAAGGTTGAAACTAACCAAACACTGCCATCAACCTTTGTCATCAAAGACCATACCCTTTTTAATACTTGCCATCGGAAGCTGCTTTTGTCTTGATATAGCCTCTGCTTAACAGCAAACGACATCTGCTCTAAGGACGAAAAAAGCCCAGAACCTCTCACTTGCACAGCATGGTTAGCCAAACCATCTGCCACGAAATTAGCTTCTCGATATACATGAGCCAATTGAGAATCAATGGAGGCTAACAAACTCCTAATTTTTGAAAGCCAACCCAATACTTCAAACCATAATCAAATTTCCAGAACTCGTTTTCTATAATAGGAAAAGAACAGAGTTTTTATTGCAGCTTTTGGAACCCAGAGAAAAATCCAACAAAAAGATCAACCGATCTTTATCCCTGTGTGTGAGAGAGGGAAAGAGAGAGAGCTCTTACCCTGTTTTGTGAAGTTTCATCAGTATATCAGTGCGAAGTGAATGTGTTTTGTCTGCTAAAAAGGGTAAAATAGTTAATTTCCAAAAAATGTCATATTCCCTCCACTTTTTCAGTCCATTTTTCGCCTAAAAATTGGGGAAAATTTTTTGGCGGGCACCGGGGAAGATAGCTCCCCTCCACTTTCCATTCCCTCCCATTTTCCTTTCAAACCAAATAATGGAAAACAGCTCATTTCCTCCTACTTTCCTTCCTCCATTTTTTATCCTCCTTATTTTCACTCATAGGGGTAAGTTCCAAAATACCACATTTGTCCCTTTTCTCCTAAAAGTCCACAAATGTGGACCCGCCTTCTAAAAAGCCCTATAGTAATCTAGGGAACATATGTGTAATGATGGGCTAATGATCTCCTGACCGAATATTGTTGGGCCTCACCTTCACATGAGGCCTAGGGCTAAGGGGCTGAAATACAGATAGATCAAAAAATAGATGTATTTTTCTGGACATGTTATGGGCGTCCTATCTTCTGATGATATGACCCATAGCCACTTCCACTGAACGTAGCTGGGCCTCACCATCACATTAGGACTAGGGCTAAGGGCCGAAATATAAACAGATCAAAAAAGAGTTTTTTAGTTGTGAGTATAATTTTTTAGACTTATTTGAGAAAAAAATGTATGGATAAATTGTTTACTCTATTAAATTCAATTTCAATAAAATATATTGTGTTTAGGTACAAAATTCAACTGAAATCAAAACTTTTTTACTTAAATACTCTTCCTTAAATTATGTATTCTTAATTGACAGTTATATATGTAATCAAATATATAAATATTTCATTAGACTCTCTCACTATCTCTCCCTTATTTTCTCTCAATCTCTCTCTCTCCCTGTTACTTTTTTCATCTCTCTCCTATTTCTCTCTTTATCTATCATTGATAATTTATTTTTTTTCAAATATGTAAAGATTTAATTTATTTTTTCATCTCTCTCTCCCTATTTTTTCTCTCTCTGCCCCAATTTTCTTTAACCATTTCTCTCTACCTCTCTCCCTTATTTATATCAACATTACAAAAATACAATTGCACTAATCAGTTACATAAATCAATTACAATTGTCCTATGATACACAAAATAATTACTCATGTGTAAACAATTATATCAAACAATTACACAAAATTATGACACCAACCTAATTTGTCATACAATTATTTACATAAATTAAATAGTTGCACCATTTAGTATTACGACATCGTTACAACAATTATATATGCCAAATTTAGTATAATGGTAAAGTCTCTTGTGTAATGATAAACCTAATTTTATGTATATAATTGGTGTAATCATGTTGTGATACTAAATTGTGTAACTCTTTAATTTATGTAAATAACTGAATAACAAATTGAGTTGGTGTTGTAATTTCGTAAAATTATTTAGTATAATTGTTTGGTTTATTAGAATGTATGAGTAACTTTTTGGTATATTACAGGGTAATTGTAAGGGAAGAGGGAGTGAGAGAAAATAAGGGCAGAGGGAGTGAGAGAGAAAAAAAAATTAGGGGGAGAGAGAGATAACAAAAATTAATTCAAATCTTTACATATTTAAAAAATATAAATGATCAATGAGAAAGAAAGAAAGAGCGAGAGAGAAAGAGATAGAAAATAGGAAAGAGAATGTGAGAGAGTAATGGAGAGACAGAATGAGAGAGAGAGAGATGAATAGAGTAATAAATGACCTTTTAGTCTTTTTTTCAAAAAAATACACTTAAGGTCAAATAAGTTTCCTTAATATAGTTTAATTTGAATAAGTTTAAATTTTTGTACCGACTTCTAAATTACCCATCAAAAAATCAATATTTGGCTGTGAGTATTCTTTTTAGGTGAAAATTGGGATTAAGTCCTCCTTAAGGGACTTATAATGAATTTAGTTCGTAAAAAAAAATTATTTGAAAATAAGTCTATTTTTAATCTTACTAATAAGTAGCTAAGTCCATAATTTTTTAAAACTCTAAAATATCCTTCCTTAAAAGTAATTTTAAATTAATTTACTAACTTGAGAATTATTATCCCTTAATTCATTGTTAATAAAGATATGTCAATAAATTTTTATACATAAATTTAATATTCAAATTCAAAGAACAACTGATACTCTTTCTCTCTCTCTCTCTCTATATATATATATATATAATTTTTTATCATATTACTATTCATGTTACTGTTTTTTTGAACTTGTTACTACTATTATTTTTCTAAATATTAATATTCAATATTATTAATTTTTTTGTTTTTGATTTTTGTGTTTAAATGTTACTACTTGTTTGTGTTTAAATGATACTATTTTTTGTATTTAAATGATACTATTTTTTGTGTTTAAATGTTATTATTTTTTTTTATGTTACTAAGTTATGAGTTGTTAATACTAATACAATTCACAATTTAGAAGTTATTAGTTTTTTCAAATAAGTTTTGATTAAATATAATCATTGAAGATATTTTAAACAATAGAAATTAAAATGGATTTATTCTCAAATAAATTTTTTGATTAAATTTAAGTCCAAATAATTTTTTTTATTTAATTCATTTAAACTTTTTAACAATAAATGAAACATCTTTGCCAAAATCAATGATATTCAGACTTAATTTATTAACCTCATTTGTTGACTTATCTAATGGTTTCATTGAAACCATATTATTAGGTTAACAAGTTAATACTCCATCCATTTTTAAATATTTGTCGTTTTTCACAATTTTTTTTGTTCCACAATATCTGTTGTTTAAAGAAACCAAAATATAATTAATATTTTTTATTCCAAAATTACTCCTTATCTATGTTTTCCAATTAGTACTTAGTAGTTTAAGTGTAGGCTAAGTGTCTTTCATTTTTCTTTCCTTCATTAATACGTATTAAATAAGGGTATTTTAGTCTTGTGCAATTATTTTTACTCATATAAGAGTTATTTAATAACTTTCTTAATCCCTATGCAAAAATCTTAAGCCACAGATATATAGGAACGAAGGAAGTGCAAATATTATTTAGGTGAAAATAACATTCCTCCTTTGTGAATATGTGAGACCTAGAGTCACTACTTTACCAACTTCGACTTTAGTATTGGACCGGTTTGGAACATAGAAATAAGAGTTAATTGTAGAGGTCTTTAAAGTATGAGATTTATTTTATTTTAGTGCCTAATATTTTAATTACATTATTTTGATCCTTAAAATATTGAATATATTTCTACATGGTCCCTCAAGCGAATAACGTCCAAATTATTAACAATTTTTTATCATAAACTTATCACATGATACTAATATATGAACAAAAAAAAAATTTGGATAACTCTTAACCAAATTTTTACTTAAATTTTGATTAAATAGTTACCTAAATTACACAATTTTAATAATGAACTATCCCAATTTTGGTTAAATTCTACCCATATTACAAATTTTTTTATTAAGAACTACTCAAATTTTGTTTAAAAACTATCAAAATTATTTTTTGTCCATATTTAGGTATTATGTGACAAATTTATGATAAAAAATTGACGGAAATATGAATTTTGTCTACTTGAGAGACCATATAGAAACATATTCAATACTTCAGAAACTAAAATGATGTAATTGAAACATTATGCACCAAAATAAGATAAACCCCATATTTTTGGGAACCTCCAATACAATCAACTCTAAAAATAAAACTCATTCAACACACACACACATATAACAAACAAAGGAAATAAAACAAATACTTCCATAAAGGTTTTTGATGATAAGGAAAGGAAACCAAAAGCAGCAATTCGAAATTATAACTTTTTTTTTTAATTTCCCTTGGGATTACAATTCACACAAAGAGAAAGAAAGCAGAATCCATGCTCTTAATAAGGATGATGGTTGTAGCAGCATACATGCAGCACTAAATTTGCAGCGACAGGCACCCAACCACGGGTCCTTTTACCTTTATTTCACCTTTTATTTTTCAGTTGCATGAATACCAATCAATTAAGTAGGAGTAGGAGTAGGAATAGGATGATGAGCTACAATAATACGTAACCCCGCCCCAGGCCCCACAATTCATATCATCATATGACAGCAGGGACAGCGTGCAAAACCACCGTCTCAACCGAGAGACCAGGCCCAAACCCGAATAGAACTCCCCATTCCAACCCTTCACCCGTGGTGCTCTTACCTTCTTCAATCGATCTCTTCCTCATTTCGTCCAAAATGAATACCACACATGCACTGGACATGTTACCATACTCACTCAGCACATGCCTAGTAGCACTGAGTTTCTCTTCTTCCAGACCAAGCTTGGACTCAACTTGGTCAAGAATGGCAGGCCCACCTGGGTGGGCAATCCAGAAGATAGAGTTCCAGTCACTAATCCCTATTGGAGTGAAAGCTTCCACCAGTGACTTTTCAATGTTCTTTGATATCAAACTAGGCACGTCCTTGAGCAAGTGAAAAGTAAGCCCTACTTCACGCAAGTGCCCATCTATAGCACCCTCCGAATCTGGCAGAATAGTCTGTGCAGCAGACACTAGTTGAAACAATGGACGCTCGATGGGAGTATCAGGTTCCGCACCAATGATCATTGCGGCCGCACCGTCACCGAAAAGCGCCTGTCCTACCAGGGAATCCAAGTGGGCATCGGATGGTCCTCGGAAAGTGACGGCAGTGATCTCGGAGCACACCACCAGAACGCGTGCTCCCTTGTTGTTCTCGGCGAGATCTTTGGCAATACGAAGCACGGTTCCACCTGCAAAGCAACCTTGCTGATACATCATCAGTCTCTTCACGGAGGACCGGAGGCCCAGAAGCTTGGTAAGTTGGTAGTCCGCTCCGGGCATGTCCACACCTGAGGTTGTACAGAACACAAGGTGTGTGATCTTTGATTTGGGCTGGCCCCACTCTTTGATGGCCTTTGATGCTGCGACCTTACCAAGCTTTGGTACCTCCACCACTACCATGTCTTGACGTGCATCGAGGGAGGATGCCATGAAAGCACACATGTTTGGATTTTCTTTCAGAATTTCTTCTGTCAAATGCATGTAACGCTTTTTAATCATGGATTTCTCACCTGTGATAGTCGGAAATAACATTTAAGTATGAGAATTTCCGTACAACTACAATGGGAGATCCATCTATATATCAATCTACCTATCTATATATATGTGTGTGTATGTATTCAGTGTTGTTACTACCATACTAATTGCTAAAAAAAGAAGAAAAAAAAGTGGTAGCAAAAATAATGCAGATAGAGACAGTGGGCTATATATATTATATAGTTAGGAATGGAATCATTGATGCATTGATATGTGAACCAGCAATGCTTGCATCTATCATTCTTTTCACTGACTGTTGAAGTGCGTGATTGTGCAATTAGAGAGCGTATAGTATGTAATATCTATAGGGATTGGACTGAACTGGATTGATTGGATTGCTCATAATTAATTAAACATACACATTCTCTTGAATTTCTCTTTCAACTCGGTCATGTGCTCGCTGTTGGTGATGCGGAAGTAGTAATCAGGATAATCAGCCTGGTAGACACAGTTGGAAGGAGTTGCGGTGCCAATGGCGAGGATCATGGCTGGACCCTCGGCTCGCTGGGCCTTGCGGATTTCCTCAACCGATACGGATGCCATGTGATATTGATTGGTTAGTTTTGTGGCAATGAAGGCTAAGTAGTAGTAAACCCTAGCTAGCTGCCCTGGGACTACCCCTTTTAGTAGCAGGGGAAAGTTGGTGTATATTCACAGATGGAAGGGGTGTGCGGTGGGGTTTAAATAAAAGGTTAAGGTGGTTAGGTTGGACGGGCGGGCAGCTGGTGACCACGTGGACTACGGGGTTAGGCTGCCTAAACAGCGGTAGAGATGCTGCCACACATCTATCAATCTAACTTCCCAACAGTACTATGTGCACTCTGATCGACCCTCAAGCAAACGGAATGCGAAACAAAATATGTTCTTTCTAACCCAACAATCCAATTTAAGATGATTTATCTCAACATCATGTATTCATCTATCAGGCCACTTTAACTAAAAGCAAACAATATACATGTATGAAAATTAGCTGAAATATTTACTTAACTTGCAACTAACTAACTAAATAAAATAGTAATGCTTTTTCAACCTAGCTAGCTAATTTAATGATCTAATGGATCGCAATTATTGAATTGATAATAAATAGACCCTCAAAAATAATGAGATCTCTCCGGTCAATCTAATGACTTTAATATATTAAGTCAATAAATTAAATCCAAAATCACATTACTTCTGCATAGAAATAAAGGTTGAAAAGAAGAACCAAGTGATGCATAAAATCCAAGAGCCGCCGGTGCACATGGATCGATTTTTTTTACTTGGTTTCTATTAACTTGATCTTTTGCTAATTTTCCAACTTTGAGACTAGGGTCCAGTTCAGCTTGATTGGGATTTTAACATATGAAAATCCTATTTCCGCATTATTATTATTATTATTTTTTTCATTTTCTCCAACTATATTTTACCAATGTAGAAGAGTCAGATAATTCCGACAACGAAACATTAACGAGTGACTTGATTTTCATGAATTTTATTTTAGACGTTAATATATATATTGATATTTGACTTTAATTGTTTTATATAGATAAAACATTCAACGACCATTTTGAACCAAACAAAACAAAAAAAAAATAATCCATCACATATACTATATAATATAATTAGTTATTACTTATACCTGAAGGTACGGTGTAATAACAAAAAGTATAAATCATAAAAATATTTATATTTACCCCTTTTCAAAATTAAATCACAAACGCAGAGCAAAGAAAAACGAATTTAAACACAAATTATACTGAATATAAGCAGTGATAGTAGTGGTGGTGGTATAGTGACAATGGGTTGGGGTGGTGGGTGGTAACGATGGTAGTCGTAGACGATGACGAATACTTCTAGGCAACAGTGTAATGTGTGGTAGCGAATGACGATGGTGGTGGTGGTAGATGTGGTGGAGGTGGGTGACCGTGGCTGACAGAGATAGTAGGCCACAATAAGTGATGGTGGCTGTGAGAGTGGGTGGTGGTAGGCAAGAATGGTGGTAATGGGTGCTAACAGTGGTAGCAGAATGATGGTAGTAGTGATAATAAATATAAGAATGAAATGATAATAATAGTAAATAGTGGCGGTAAACGATAGTAGCAGCAATTAGTTGTGGATGACGATGATGGTGATTGTGGTGATGGTGGCGTAGGTGCTGGGGGGGCAATTCCAAACACTACATTTTAAAAAAAAAAAGTACTTTTAAGAAGTTATAAGTTTTAAATGTACTTTTAAAAAATCACTCCAAAAACACCCTTAAGAGCATGTTAAATTCGGAGAGTTAATATTAGTTGTTAAATTAATTTTAAAATAAAATTTAAAAAATTTTTAATCATAAAAAATAAAAGTTATTTTGTTTATTTTTTAAAATTTAAATTATATTATATTTTATTATATAAATATTGAGATACTGTTATTACAATAACTAGCCTAACCTCAACAATAGTGATTATTTAATATGGCTTGAATTTGAAAGCGTACCGGGGGGATCATTCTTGCTTGTATTTTGTTAATTAAAACCTAATTGATAGGTTGGTAGTAGGGGCGGTTGAAGTCAATTTGAGACCTAAATCGAAAATATTATAGAAAGACTTTTTTTATTTTTAGTATTATTTTTTTAAAAAAATTAATTTATTTTTAATTTTTATGTGAGAGAAAGACAAAATAAAGATGTGTTAATATTGTCGAGAAAGATATTTTAATTTTTATTTTTTTTACCGGAGAGAGAGAGACAAAGAGAGAAAAAAAAAGTGAGTGAGAATAAATATAAGTTCACTTTTTAGTATTTTTTTATTTTTAAATTTATAAGTTTTTAATGTTATAGATTGGATTATAGACCCAAATTATTATAATAAAAAATTTTATTGGATTTAATTTTTTGGAATTTTTTTGTAGGACTTAAAATTTAATAAATTTAATTTTTTTTTATAAATTAATAATGTATCTAAAATTGTAAGACTTTCTAAAAATTTTGAAGACATAAAACTCATGCTTTTTTTGTGTTTCCAATACTGCTGGGCCGGCCCTGGTTGGTAGATCGTGTGGCAATGGGATGATCATTTTTAGCAGGCGAAAAAAGACAAAATACGTATTATATGTAATAATGTGATCTGATGAGGTCGGAAGCCCAGGAGATGTCGATCGCACACTAGAGTCCAATTTGTGCTAGCTAAGCAAGTGTAGTATCTCCGTAAGGAGTAAATATCGAATGTAGCGGTAATATTATATTATTATTAATAATATAATATTATTAATTAATAATAAAATTTTAAATGAATAAAATAAATCTTATTGATCGGTGATATCACAACACTTTATCACATGGTATCATTGTTATAATGAATATTTTCTCGTACGTAAGGGATGACTTATTATATATATATATATATATATATATATATATATATATATATAATAAAACATAAGAGAATATGAATTTTTATCTTACACACATTTTTCCCCTTAAAAACATCACATTACTCATTTTTATCACATGTTTAATATTTTATAAATTTTTCTCCTAAAAATATCACATCACTCATTTCTTTTATATGTTTAATCATTTATATTTTTTCCTCCTAAAAACACCACTTCACTCATTTCTATCATATGTTTAATCATTTAATATTTGATTAATTTATAATTAATATAATTTTTATTTCAAATATTATTCATATACGATAATATATACATGTTGAAAAAATTTAATATAGTAAGATCGATTTTTTGGGCGTTTGAATTTTATATTTTTTCGTGCTTTTATGCACATGTTCTAACTACTATATAGATATAGTTAGGTGCTTAAAATTTTATTTCATACATATTTTTCTCTTCAAAACTATCATATCACTCATTTCTATCATATGTTTAATTATTCAATATTTGATTAATTTATAATTTAACATAATTTTTATTTCAGACATTATCTATAGACAATAGTATACACATGTTAAGAAAATTTGTCAAATTATGTAAATTTGTCTATATTTTTTTAAAAAATAATAATTAAAAATAAATTTTAAATAATTTAATCAAATAATAAAAGAAAAAAATTATTATTTAATATAGTGAAATTATCGATTTTTTAAACATTCAAATTTTATGTTTTATCATGACTTCGTGCATGAGTTATAAGTAGTATATAATAAGGAAGTTAGGAATTTAAATTTTACTCCCAAATATTTTTTCGGTCATTTTTGTTCCATCACCCATTTTTATTATATAATTCATTTTTTCTACCCAATACAAATTTTATTTTGAATATTTTTTATATATAATAATATACACATATAAATATTTTGTAAGTTTATATATTTTAAGAAAATTTAATTGATTTTTGTTTTACAAAATGATTAGTTGAAATTAAAGAAAATGAAGGAAAAAAATTGATATTTGATATAAGTGGGATCGAATTTTTTTTTTTTTTTCAATTTTGAATTTTACATTGCACCTTGTCAAAGTTATTAATACTAATATATATATAGTAAATCTTAAATGTAAGTGTGCAATAATGGCCGGGGAATACACGTGCAAACTACAAAGTTGAGGTTTCTAACGAACGAATGCGGGGTTTGGGTAAGAGAAAACGTGGACTCCGCCGTTACCGATAAATTTCAGTATTAATTCTCACCGACTTACTTAACTCTTTATGTTTCGGATTTACATGGGAGAAGCAAACATGCGTCATGCAGCGCCACCAACCAAACACTTATTAATACTAGCTTTTTAAGCTGATGCTTTATACATGTCACAACGCGCGTCATCAATATTCTATTTAATTGGTTTGTTTTGATTGTTGCAATATACTTTAAATTTAAATAGACAAGTATTCAGCAACAAAAAAAAATTATGTAGACACTGATGATGCATTATTTTTATGTTTCGTTTGGTAGAAAAGATGAAAAGTAAAAGGGATAAAAAATAAAAAATATATATATTTTTTATCTTTAAAAAAAATGAAAGTACTAATAATACACATTTTTTTTTTTGTGTTTGGTAGGATGAATGAAAAATAAAAATAATTAATCTTTTTTTTTTGTGCAAATATATATATATATATATATATATATTTTATCATTGTATTTATATTTGAAAATATAATATAAATCTAATTTGTAGTTGATATTAAAGGGCGAGTGATTCATTCTATTTTGAATGTTGGAGAAAATCTGTGGGAGATTGGTAATTTTGTTAATCAAATTCAGCTACAGGCTGAAAATATGTGGTTGTGGAAACAGTAGTATGAGGTAGAGGATGAATGGTGATCGCCAGCTAATTAAAATGTTTGAAATAAGTAAGCTAGCTTCAAACCATTTTAGCGTTTTAAAATGTAGTTAGTGCCACTTTACTTATCATCATTTTATATAAAGTTTCCTCCTCTACTATATATTTTGGGTATTAAATCTAACCAATAACCTTATTTGGTGGGTGCTATGAATGAATAGCAGGATGGGATGGGATGGGATGGGCAGCAAGCACAAGTAATTGGAAGGGACTTAGAGTGTGCCGGATAGAATAATGGGTGAACTTTTACAAGCAAGCGGGTATTTGAAGTAAGTAAATTGAGTTCGTTGGTAATACTTTCCTTCTGCAGTCAGTTACTTGACTTCCTTGGGTGGCTCTCGTGCACATGTTCTGTTGAAGGAGGCTTAGGTCTAGCATGGGCCC